AGTAGTTGAACCACCAACTTTCTCAAGACTTTGACACCCTTCTCTCTCGGCTTGTCAATATGTGACTACATCTCCAAGATGTGATCACACCTAGACCTTGCCTTGCCAATAGGGTTTGAGTGACTTTGAACTTGTGGGTTGCGAGAATAATTTGAGGAGGTGAAAGAAGTATGATTTCCATGGGACATCATCTTCATTTAGGAAAGCTTGTTTCAAGAGATTTGGGAAGATCATAAATGTCTATACCAGACATGTTTTGGGAGATATTCAAGATAGTTGATTTAAAGTCCTTAATATGACACCCAATATGAAATATTAAGGCTAGGACCCAACAAACTATTTTTATAACTTAGAAGAGGTATGCCGTAATCCAAGCTATAAAATATTTGAAGGTAGGTGAATGATGATTCACCAATTTCCACCAAGATAAACGAAACGTATTATTAGGTTTTAATTGGATTTGAAACTCCTAGATTTTTGAGATTCATTGAACTGTTCAATGGCATGTTTCAATCTCGAGTGTGCCCTTCAGGTTTTGTGACTGGGATGCCGAGGATCACAAAACAGGGTGTGAAGTAACCATGCAAATTACTTGGTACCCTTAAGTGTTTACCCCTCAATCGATGTGCTGGTTAACCACACACGCTCCATCGATACTATGATAAACATTAAGTTACCCTTTGCCTACCTTGTTAAATACGAGTTAGTGTGCCGGTTAACCACACACGCTCCACTAACCGACTTAAACAAAGTGCAAAGTGTAATTTCATGGATTAGCACCTTATTCACATTTTCCTAAGTAACTAAGATTGGGTATTTATTAAGAGTTTAGTTACTTAGTATTTATCATTAATACTTTTAATGAAGGGAGAATTATAGTCCTGTCAAACCCGTTCGGCTAACGACCCTCCACCAGTCAAGCAAGCGGTGGGTGAGAGTGGACACCCATTAAGTTTCCATTTTATAGGCAACAACCTTATACCCACCTTATAGACCGACTTCGTGAATGAGGCGTACTAGCGGTAAGACCGACTTTACTCTTATACATGTATATATTATTAACTTATAATATTATAAAGTATAAGGGTTGAATTTTAACTTTTAAAATTCTAAGGGCTAACTTGGAATTAAAGTATTCATAAGAGAAAACTTTACAAATTCCAAAACTTGAGGGCAAGTTTTGAAACTATTCAAAACTAATTAATTCCATAACTTATGTGTTTAAAGTAGTTTTAATCCAAAAAATCTTCAGGTTCCATAACTTGAGGACAAGTTATGGAAGACTTTAAACTAATAAAAGAATTAAATTTTCTTTATTTTATAACTTATGTAATTAATTAAGGTTACACTTTTACTCCTAAATGAAGTGACTCTTGAACTTCCATAACTTGAGGACAAGTTATGGAGTCATAAAACAAATATTCAATGACACAAGACTCTTCATTTTGTAACCATTACCAACTTTTATGAGTTTTATGAGTCTTTAATGTGACTCTTCATGTAACTTGAGGACAAGTTACACAAACACATTTTATACTCAACTCTTAGATTAAAAAGGATTGAAAGCAACTATTTCAATTAACTTTTCTATTAATCTAAGCAACTCATAAGAACAAGATAATTCAAATCAAACCTTTTCATGTAATTAGTCTAAACCTTAAACTAATACAAAACATGAATCTATTGACAATTATCTTTGAAAATGGATTAGCATGAACATTACCACATCAAAAACAAGTTTATAAGTTCAAAAACAACTTAGGGTAATGTTCCTAGTCCATTTCTAGCCAAAAACCTCGAAAATATGCTGTCTGGGGGTCCAACTCGTCGAGTGTAGGAACCAACTCGGCGAGTTGGATCGAATTGATCACATTTTAGGCATAGACTCGCCGAGTCTCCTGATGCACTCGCCGAGTCTGATGATCAGACAACAACAAATTCTTTTTTTCAGCTTATATTGCAGGTTTAAGAAGAAAACAAGCCTAGGCTCTGATACCACTGTTGGGTTATGAGCATTCTAACACTCCTAAGTGTACATGCAACCCTAAATACCTTGGATCTATGTTTTCTCAATTGTACATGCAAATATGAACATCCAAGGTATTATCCTAATCTAGCATACAAAACTATCAATATAACAAGATAGAATACATACCTCTCTGATGTAGAATGTCTTCATGAAGCTTGAGTGCCTAGTGCCCCAAGTGTGACACCTCAAATGGTTCACACAACAACAAATACACTTGGAATAACTTGAGAGAATTCTACACTTCAAGAAAATCGGCTAGCCCTTTCTTTTCTTTCTAGCAACCGATTTTGATCAAGAATAAGATGTTTATATAGTTATACAATTAGGGTAAACCCTAATTGTCATGACTTTCCATTTCCTTGGATCCATGGGTTGAAATACACCATGGAGCATCCATGGAGCATCATATGGGTTTTGGCCCAAGTAGATAATCCATGGAGCATTAGCCCACTATATAAGTATGGATGATTTGCACAATCAACCCATATATTTAATTAGTCTTCTTTTTATCACTTAATTAATCCTAGATTAATTCTTGATCAATACTAATTAAATAATCTTATTATTCTTATTATTAATATACTAGAACTTATAATATATTAATAACCATAAGTGTCTTATTTCTCTCATTATAGTCTATCCAAGTGCATGATGCCATGCAACCCAAATGGACCATGCTAGGTCGGGTCAAGTCTTATCAATTATAGTTATGGACTTAGACATTAATCCAACAATGCGGACAGACACCGGTCCGAACTTGAGTTTTAGGTCGGCAACTTTGTGCTCCTGAAGGTCTCTCCTTGGAAAGGAGTGATTCGATTCAGGAAGAGGGGAAAGTTGGGGCCCCGATATATTGGTCCATTTCGGGTGGTCGCGAGGGTAGGCATGGTAGCCTATTGTTTGGATTTGCCAGCAGAGTTGGGGCAGATTCACGACACTTTCCATGGGTCACAGTTGCGGAAGTGTATAGCCAATGAGTCGGCAGTGGTTCCATTAGAGGATATTCAGGTGGATGCGAGCCTGAATTATGCTGAGAGACCAGTGGCAATCAGAGATCGGAAAATCAAAGTTCTGAGGAACAAGGAGGTACCTTTGGTTTTGGTTCAGTGGCAGCATTGGAAGGGGTCCGAAATGACTTGGGAACCGGAGCGTGAGATGCGTGAGCAGCATCCGGAGTTATTTGGAGAGCGAGACTTCGAAGGAGAAGTCTAGTTCTAGTGGGGGAGAATTGTAGCAGCCCGGATTTCCAGGTATTTATTATTATTTGTATTTTTGGAGAATCGTAAATGGACTCGACGAGTTGGAGCTCAAACTTGCCGAGTAGGATCGCGATTTTGGACGCGGGTTCGCGTCCGGACTCGGTGAGTCCACGATGTTTAATGAAAACCTAATTTCCGGGGTATGAGACCTATTTAAGGGGGTTTATGGCCGTCGTTTGCAGCCACCAACCCCAGAGAGAACCCTAAAGAGCTTGTGAGCACTTTGTGAGAGAGAAGAGGAAGATCCTTGACTATTTGTGGGTATTTTGGCATATAGAAGAAGATCAAGGCAAGAGGAGACCAAAGAAGGTGCTAATCCAGTGATTTCTGAGCTCACGGACTTCATTTCATGTATCCATTTGTTCCTTTATCAGTCCTTGTTGTGAATCTTAGAGTTAGGGTTTCTTTGTGGAAGAGATCCATGGAGTAATTGGCTCCTTCTTGTGTTAGTACTTTAGATCTGGACCCAAAGAGGTCCAGAGACCCTTTTCCCTCAAGCTTTATGAGTGTTAATGGAGCCCATAAGCTTAGAATAGCATTCTAGAGATCATATCATCAAATAAAGCCTTTGGATCTTTGCATGAGCACCAAGATTGTGACTTTACGTGATGAATGTGCTTGGAAGGACTGGATCTAGGAGTTATTAGAACGGATCTGACCTCAGGAGTGAGTTTGAGTTCATGCATGGCATAGACTCGCCGAGTCCGAAGAACAGACTCGGCGAGTAGCATGAAGATTGTCCATAACCACTCAGCGAGTAGTCTTGCCGAGTTAACGGGCTAACTCAGTGAGTCAGGGAGAGTCAGAGAAGGTTGACAGGTGGACTGAGTTAAACTGGAACTCGCCGAGTTGTTTTGAGACTCGGCGAGTTGAGTCGCGGTGGCCCCGCGATTCATGCCAAGTGGAACTCGTCGAGTTAGGGGAGTACTCGACGTGCCAAGAGAGAATCCGAGGGAGTTAGCGAACTCGTGTAGACTCGCCGAGTCGCTCTTATGTACTCGCCGAGTGCGGTCAAAGTTGATCGTTGACCGTTGACCAGAGTTGACCTGTGTTGACTTAGTGGGGTTAGTCAACCTTAGTTGTGAAAATGTTAAAGATGTATTGTATTATAGGAGGATTACAGCTCGGGGGATCGAGTACGAGTAGGTTCAGGGATTTGCGAGCTATCGAGATACACGAGGTGAGTCTCCTCACTATACTTTACCTTGAGTAGGTAACTAGAGTTATGTGATACAGTGCTTGTATGCTATATTGTGTTATGTGTTGCGCTGCATTATTCTTTGTGATTTATGCTGTGCATGTTTACAGAGTTAGAACCTGAGGGTTCACAGAGTTTGGGTGCACAGACCCATAGAGTTATAGCCTCGAGTGGATAATATGTGTTATATGTGGTATTTTGGGGGAACTCACTAAGCTTTGTGCTTACAGTGTTTGGTGTTATTTGTTTCAGGTACTAGTGACGACCGTGGGAAGGCGCCGGCTTGATCACTACACACGCATGGGATTTTATGATTTTGAGATCTTGGGATTTTTGTATTACTTGGATTAAATTTCAAACATGGTTGTTTTATGAATATTAAGTGAATTATGTTTTTATAAAAATTGATTTTTTTTTTTAAATTAACGGTGTTACAGTAAATGTGGTATATGATTGTGAAAATTTTATATGCTAGTTGATAACTGGACGAAGGCAGTTGAGTATTTCCAAACGGATGAACACAAAATTGCTTCAGAAAAGGAACAAAAAAGTTCGTGAAATGCAAACAAATGTGAATCGTGGGGGTTCGAGCTCGTATAACAGTACTTCCTATAAGAAGGTAACGTACGATACATGTAATTATTTATTTAAAATATAATTTAATTTTTAAAGTTAAACAAAACCTAAAGAGAGTGGAAACGTTTCGCAAAACTCGTACTGATAAGAATGGTGTATTTTTTACTATTGAGGAGGAACAACAATATGTAAGTATTTAATTATAATTTTATCATATAATTAAATGTCTATTTATACTTAATTGTTACTCACTTTTAGGAGTTACAGAATCGCTTAGTTGAAGAGCTGTTAGAACAAACTCTAGGTGCAAGTGAGTTAACACTCACTCAAGAAAGAGTTGCGTTTGTGAAAGTATTAAGAGAGCGACATGGCCATATTAAAGGCATTAGCCGTAAACCTTCCATTCTGCCGCCGATTCCACAACCTTCGCAACCATCACCACAACCATCACAGGTAAAACAATCTACTTTGGTTTTTTGTGGTGATTATTTGCTAAAGCTTTAGTAATTAGGTTTTTGTCCCAAGTGCAAAAAATAACAATGTACTTTGGTTTTTTGTCTTAGTTTAAAAATAGCAATCTACTTTAGCATCATAAAATGCATGTTGATTTGGTAACTTTGGTTTTGTGGTGATTATTTGCTAAAACCATTGGTAATTGGGTTTTTGTCCCAAGTGCAAGAAATAACAATATACTTTGGTTTTCTATCTTAGTTTAAAAATAGCAATCTACTTTAGCATCATAAAATGCATGTTGATTTGGTAATTTTGGTTTTGTGGTGATTATTTTCTAAAAACTTTGGTAATTAGGTTTTTGTCCCAAGTGCAAAATATAACAACGTACTTTGGTTATTTGTCTTAGTTTAAAAATAGCAATCTACTTTAGCATCATAAAACGCGTGTTGATTTGGTAATTTTGATTTTGTGGTGATTATTTGCTGAAAACTTCGGTAATTAGGTTTTTGTCCCAAGTACAAAAAATAACAATGTACTTTGCTTTTTTGTCTTAGTTTAAAAATAGCTTTGGTAATTAGGTTTTTGTCCCAAGTGCAAAAAATAACAACGTACTTTATTTTTTTTGTCTTAGTTTAAAAATAACAATGTATTCTGATAGTTTTTGTTTATGTTTGACAATTTAACTTATAAGTTTATATATTTTGTTATTAATTATGTAGTTGGAAAATCTTCGTGCAATGCTCAGCGACCCGGCATGTAGCGATGAACTTTATTCGTTTTTTCAATCCCAAAATAAACGAGGAAACGATGAGAACGAAGATGATGGTATGTAGGGTGCGTTTTATATGTATACGTAGTTACGCTTTGCTATTTGGTAGATTGTGAAACTTTGATTGTTTTTTGTAATTACCGGGCGACATTATTACTTTTTATATTTAATCGGATTTTATGATTTTTGATATTTAATTGTAATCGGATGTTTGTTTTCTAATTAGCATCAACACTATTATTTTTGATATTTAATCAAATATTGTTATGTAATTACTGACGATATTATTACCGACAACCAAAATCGTTAATTAAAAAAAATTAAAAAAATGAAAATTGTTGTTACCGACGACTCTGTTACCGGCAACTTAGTTATTAGAGGCGACATGTCTCATTAGCGGCGACATATCTCATTAACAGCAACAAATTGATCAATAGCTACGAAATAGTAGTGATGACTCATTACCGACGATGCATCACTGCTATTAGTATTACCCGCGACATTTTGAACTTTTACCGGCGACTTTTGTCGCTGCTAATAATTGTTTTCCTCGTATGCTTTGTGGATATCATCACCTAGATTAGCTTTTAAAACTATGTAATTGTCGTTTTTGAGCGCCCCAGTTTCTTGCTGGGGTTTGTTCCCGTTTTATTCAAGTTGCCTTTCAAAAAAAAAATGAAAAATGAAAACAATTACCACGTAAGACGCGACATACATCATTACATGCATTTCAACAATCCTGTACAAACCTCTTGACCTGATTGTTTCCTTATAAATACTTGCACATAATACGTACATCAAACTACAAATCCTACGTTAATTTTATTACCCTCTCAAATGTTGAGAAATCCGGCCACAGTTTCCACTGTTGTAAAGGAGTCAGAGCATACAAAAATAGTGCTCTCTGATGTGGTGGTTACAAGGAAAAGAAACCTCTTGTGGGCGCGAAAATGGAGGGCTATCGACATTCAAACGGGTGTTCTGATTTTAGCTATTCATTTACTTTCACTTTTCGCACCATTTAGGTTCGATTGGGATGCTTTTTTATTTGCATTTTTTCGATGGGTGTTTTGTGGGATTTTTGGAATAACTCTCTCATATCATCGGAATCTAGCACACCGCAGTCTAAAGCTGCCTAAGTGTCTTGAGTACATGTTTGCTTATCTTGGGGTCCTCTCTTTCCAGGTTCGTACTTGTTTTCTTTCCTGTATGTTTTATTTAGAAAAAATTTCATGAAGGTCCTTTTAGTTTATAGAAGATCCCTTTAACGGTTCTTATGAAACTTTTTTTTTGGCACAAATGGTAACTTTAGACAAAAGTTGTCGTCGTTAAGTCTACGTAATGATCATTTGTTATCATTTGTAATTTTATGAAACTTTGTATAAAGGCCATTTATGAAATTTTAATAGAATCTTTTTAATGTTGTATTAATTATCATAGATTCAATAAAAATATAGAAAAACTAAAATATAGACAACTTAATATTTTTATCAAAAAATAGAAATTATTAATTTGAAAAGTTTATGTATTTATAAAAAGATATATTCAAAATTTAATAAACCTAAACAACTTTATCGAATAAAATATTAATTTTTTTATGTAAAGTAAAAAATCTATCAAATGTTAGTAAGATTTAACGGTTAACCAAACCAATTAAATTGATTAAATTGCATTTTATATTCTTCTATTCTAGTAAATAATTTTAGCGTCAATACAAATCATTGATTGTCCAATTTTTTTTTTTAATTGCACACAACATTCTTTTATTATGAAATAAAAACGAAAACATATGTTTACTTTACCTATAACTCGGAACTACATATTTATATTTTTATAACAAAAGATGAAATACTATTATTTTTATAATAACATTTTTTTTATAATAATGTATTATGTTTTTTTTATAAAAATAAATATATTTGCATGTTGATTAAAAATAATAAGTTATATTTTTTATTTATGTAAATATTAAACTATTATTATTATTATTATTATTATTATTATTATTATTATTATTATTATTACCTTTTTATTTGATTTATGTGAAGTAATAAAAAAATTTGCAAGTGATGTCTAGCCTAGCTAGATTGATACATCCGGTTTGATACCCATGTATGTTTGAGGTTATGAGTTCAAATCTTTGAACCTCTTAAATCTGTCTCTTACGATTATGCCCAATGTACGAGAAGTTTTCCTTGGAAATCCCCTTGGGAGCTGAGTTAGCCGTTTCAAAAAAAAAAAAGTAATAAAAAATTAAATAGACTTTTTAACACTTCACAAATGGTCCTTATGCAAAGTTTGAGAAAATTCAACAAATGATCCTTATCCGAAATTTTAGAAACCTACACAAATCGTCCTTATGGGAATTTAACATCTTTCTCTAATGGAACATATACATAAGGACTATTGGCTTGCAAATTTTTCTCGATAGCGACCATTGATGCAACAAAAGTTTCACGTCTGAGGAAAGTTTTTAAAACCAAAAGGATCATTATTGAATTTTTTTCTTTTATTTATTTAAACAGCCAAATGTAGATAACTGTTATTTGTATACAGGGGGATCCTATATTTTGGGTGAGCATTCATAGATTTCATCATCAATATGTCGATTCCGAGAAAGATTCACACTCTCCTATTTTTGGGTTTTGGTTTAGTCACATGGGTTGGCTTTTTGATAGTGGCTACTTAATTGAAAAGGTAAGTTGTGTGATATATTAAGACAAAACAAGTTTATGTTAGTTAATTATGTCGTTAAGTTGATCATGTGTTTGCAGTATCAAAAAAGTAATAATGTGGAGGATTTAAAGAATCAAGTATTCTATAGGTTCATTAAAAGAACTTATATATTGCATATATCCGCATATGCTGCCCTCGTTTACGCTTATGGTGGATTTACCTATCTTGTTTGGGCTGTGGTAAGACTTTGCATGATGAATAATATAAGTTATTACGTTTGGTGCCACTGCTATAAACTTTTTTCCTTTTTCCAATTGACTGTTAAAAATGTCATATTTTATGATGAATTTATAAGATCAAGAGCATATATGTAGGGCGTTGCAACGACTTGGGGTTACCATACGACATTTCTAGTGAATTCCGCATGCCATATTTGGGGCACTCAAAGTTGGGACACTGGTGATCTCTCCAAGAATAACTGGTACACAATTAATGTTCAAAGTTTTAATTTATATGGAGATCAATTCATTAAAAGTACAAAATATTTTGTTTGCACACAGGTGGGTGGCATTGGTTACTTTTGGAGAAGGATGGCATAACAATCATCATGCATTTGAATATTCAGCTCGTCATGGGTTAAAATGGTGGCAAATTGACTTTTGTTGGTATATGATAAGGTTTCTTGAAGCAGTAGGATTAGCTACCAATGTTAAGTTACCAAATGAAGCTCACAAACTAAAGAAATCATCCACTTCTCATAACAAGTTCAAGTGACCAACACATAAATACTTCAACAATAAGGATTGGATTGTATTCCATTTACGTGTCAATGTGTATGTTTGTTTGCAGACTCTCACTAAATAATTGTTACACCATGTAACATGCATGAATAATGACATATTATAGTCGTGTGTAATTTTAATTTGCTTATTGTTAAAAATTTCGAACCTTAAAGCTAAATATAAGCGGGAGACATTTAGGAATGTTTCTATTTATTGTGCATTAATTTATAAGGCGGTACTTTTTTGTGCCTTCTGTTTGAATAAATTTCGATTTCCAATGTGTAGATTAGTTTTATTCTCCATCTTAGCTGAAATTCACAAATATAACTCATATTGTTAGTTTGTTTTCGAATTCCTTTTCAATGATCCAATATCAGATATGTAACCAATCCATTTTTCTCTTTTTCCCCTGAATGGCTAACTTGTATTAGTGCTTGCAATGTACAAGAAAAAAGCCAGGGGATAAAAAAGAGACTAATTACATCAAAGCAGGTGCATTAAATTTTGAGTCCTCTCATTTGTTGTTAATCAATAAAAATAATGGAATAGCATCATCGCATTCCTACATGTCATAAAGCACCAAATAGAAAAAGTAATTACCACAAGCCTATTGTTGCTAAGCGTGACACCTGATTATTTTTATAACAAAAATAAAACGTCTCTTTGGTCCCAATTAAAAACCGATAATAAAACACTACTAGAAACATGGGTTTTAGCGACGGAAAAATCCATCGCTATTCTGTCGCTAAATGTTGTTTCCGATGGATCGGCGACGGATTCACTTCATAGGTAATAAAAAGGTAGCTAATTTCTCAGCGAGGGTTTTAGCGACGGATCGGTTTTTCCTTGCGATAAAGGTAGTGACAGAGTATCCGTCGCTAAATGTCACTCAATGCATTCCGTCGCAAATTTCCATGAACAGTTTTTTTTTTTTTCGTAGCTAATCTCTTGCAAAATTCATATACTATTTTTTTTCCGTCGCTGATCTATCGCAAACTTTAGACATGATTTTTTTCCATCACTAACCCCTTGCAAAATTTATACATTAAATTTTTTTCCTTTCCGTCGCTGATCCGTCGCACACTTTAGATATATATATTTTTTTCGTAGCTAATCCCTCGCAAAATTCATGCATTAAAATACTTTTTATTTTCTCACCACGAACTTGTAATATCATTTTTTATTATGATTCTAAAAGAAAAAAAAAATACTACAATCATCAAATTATTATACTAAAGAACATCAAATAATGATACAACCAAGCATTACAATACCAAAACTATCAAAGTTTACCAAAGTGTCATTCAAAACACATCCAAAAACGAAACTATCCATATAACATTAAACTCCCAATGGTTTAACTTCAAAATAACATTTTAGCACCAAGAAATCCAAAGTATGCAAAAGAGGTACAAATAGAAAAAAGTTTAACTTTCAAAATAACATTTTAGCTGCTCTCTTCATTTCATGTCCATCAATCATCTTCGGTTCTCATTCCTATAAAACATTATTCAAAACAATCAAAAACATCAAATACAAAAGGTTAACAAGTCATTCAAAAACATCAAATACTAATGGTCAACATCATATTACCTCTAATTTTCAATTTCCCATCATATTTTGCAAGACTGCATACATCTTCTCCATTGCTTCATATTTTGCATCAATTTGTTGTTGTTTGGCATCTATTGCTGCAGCTTTGGCATCCATTTTCTCACGCATTTGTTGATGTTTAGCTCCATTTCTGCAACTTTAGCATCCATTTCACCATGCATCTCGTTTCGTACACGTTCATAGACAACCTAAAGTACAATACCATGATAGGAAAGTTTGTAAGTACAATGCCATGATAGGAAAATTTGTAAGTACAATGCCATGATAGGAAACTTTGTAAGTACAATCCCATGATAGGAAACTTTGTAAGTATAATACCATGATAGAAAACTTTGTATGTACAACGCCATGATAGGAAACTTTGTAAGTACAATGCCATGATAGGAAACTTTGTAAGTATAATGCCATGATAGGAAACTTTGTAAGTGCAATGCTATGATAGGAAATTTTTATAAAGTACAAAATCAAATGAACCTCTTGGGATGTTATTGTACTAGATGTTACTTCCAAAAAGCTCGCTGGATCAGACGCGGATCCGAATCCATATATTCTTCCTTTCTTGACTCCTTCGGAAACATCACACCATGTTTCATTATCCAAGAGGGGGTGGAAACTCGTATCATCACCAAACTTAGCCACCATAGCACTTTCATAAGCCTCCTATTATAGAAAAAAATATGAAAAAATAGAAACATGAAATAAGGAATGGAATGGTTCATTCCATCCCATTAAATTCATAATCAAGGAATGGAATGAACCACTTCATAAGCCTCCTATTAATTAATACTCAGGCCTTGCATAAAGTTGATTACTACTTACAAAACACTTAATTACAACTAGGTAGAGGATCAAACATTTAGAGATAATAATTTGTTTCTTTTCTTTTGTAAGTTGATTACTACTTACGAAAGATTTGTTTTCTGTCAATTAGTTGCTTTAACAAAGTCATTAACCCGAGTAGTAGGAAGTTTTATTTCCTACAAAAGAATTGAAAATACCTTAACTTTAGCTGCCTTTGCTGTAATGTACTCTTGAGTAGACTGTTTAATGTGCAACCTTGCATAAAGTTCAACTCCTGTAGGAGGGCGTTTAAGCATTGCTTGCTACAAAATCCATTAGTAATACATTAAAAAACAAAACAAAAACTCAATAGTTTAAGTAGAAACTAACGTGAGATGGAAACATCTTACCATTCTTTTCTTATGTTGACGAATAGATATAGAACCCCTGATATGTTTGGAAACAGATCCATCTTCTATTTTATTCTGTTATTTTTCCCTGATTGTGATAAACGTTTCCATTTGGATGTGGTCCACACTTCATTGATCATTTTTTCCTAATACTCCTTTTTTATCCAATTTGGGCGATAGTCCTTCAGCAAATTTAAATCACCTTCTACTGAGGCATTCACATTTGCAGCTTTGGCAAGTTCTAAAGATGCTTCACGTGCTCTTCGCATTATGTCAGGAAATCGGTTCTTCATACAGTCTTCCCATACCTTGCGAGCAAGAACATCAGTCTCTTCGGGCCAAACATACAAACCCTACATGTAGATCACGCATACAATTATCTTTTTCATTTTATACCAATTTTTACTTTGATAAATAATAAAAATAATAAGTACAAACCTTGAAGTGTTCCCACATTGCATCACGATGTTCTTTGTTAACCTTCTTCCAATGAGGTCCATGGGCCGTCAAACATCATCTTCAGTATACATGTGATGGCTCTGATCACTGAAATCTGATCCGTTAATCTTGCAAAAAATAAAAAATAAAAAAATTAGCATTAGTATTAGAATTAACAAGTAAATTCATTTTTATAAACAATTGTAAAATTAACATTAGTACTGCTTTTCAGAATCGACTTCAATGAACTTCCTTTTTGATGGGTTACTTGGAACTTGTTCCAAGATGTTTGATCCTCTAACTGAAGAAGAAGAAGGTTGACTTTCTACATCATTGTGTGATTGAGATGCATTTCTATCTCCAACATCACAACCACCAATGTGACTACCACTGCGACCACTACCACGGGCTCCTTGTTGCGCCATTAGTAAAAAAATAACCCTTAAAATCAAGAATTAATAAACTATTGGTTAGAACAAGTATGTATTATAATAGAAAATTATAGAAGTAAGAGAAGGTAACATCCTATAATACACAAATAAATGAAAGTGCAACGTATATAGAAAAAGAAAATGATCATTTTAGCTAAAAAGTTATTTATAAGGTCCACTAGGCAAAATATATAGTTCCAAATACATTGTTTCATTCTACATTTTTAGTACTTACTCATCATCAGAATTATCATCACATATGTGTGACATCCCCAAAATCATGGCCAGAAAAGACCGGTTTTGTTTATACTTTATTTCAAAATCAGAGTTATCTTTTAATAAAAGGGTTGTGGAATTTGTCCCAAAACAATAATATGATAAAGATTTATCAAAAGCATTTCCATAGAAATGTATTTCATTAAAAGACTCGGGATGTCATGTTCATACAGATCAAAAAGTATAAACAGTACAATATAAGCCTTACTATATTATTTCATATCTACAGACCTATATCCGTAATCCCTCGTCCAAAACATCACACCTATGCTCATGCGCCACTACCTGTAATAGATAAAATTGAGTGGGTCAGGCTTAGGAGCCTGGTGAGCACATAGGGTTTTCAACCCACAATAAATAAGTTTATTAATTTCATCAATCAACAATAACCCGATTACCCGTTCCCATTATCCTCACTTTACGTCCCTAAACATCTATCATAAGGGACCTAGCCTAAGGATCATCATCGGGACGGACACTACTGCTAAGGGGATTCCTCAGCAATAAATGTCCTAATAGGCAACCATGTGGGGGATGGAGTACACCGGTGAACACATCGTTCACAACACCTACAGGTTGCGAGCCTGCTAGTGTTCCACTGGACTGTCTAGAAGAGTCCGTGGTCGTCATCTATACTCCGCTAGATGATTGGATCAACAACAACAACATTGAGGCCTCTCATCATTTTATCACACATCGTCTTATTACATCTACCCATGTTTTACCCCAACATTTTTGTAGATATAAAATACATATACAGTTTAAATCATTTAAAACTTGTATAAAAACATTCATCGAGCATAGATAACAAGTATACAGATAATATGCACACATAGCACGTAATATATAAAATACTTCATATCTATGTGTAAGATGAAAGTAACTATGTACTCACCTGATTAGGTGGTGACTCAGCACTCGGACAGCGCTTCGATACTCTCAAAATGATATTCCTTCGATAAAACCTAGTATCGATACCACTAGGGTTTAGTCTAATGATAACCGCGGCAAATTAATTATCTGACTATTATTATTATTATATAAGCGTTAATAACACTTAATATAACTCATAATAATAGCCCAAATAATTATTTTAAGGACCTAATAACATTCCTATATTATAGGAGGTACAACTCACTTACAGCGGGTTTTTCTCGAAAACTGGGCTTCGCTGGAGCAGCGTTCCCGAGCCGAAAGGCTCTTTTCTCAGGGCTTCCTTTGGGTGCTAGGGGGTTTACCTAGGCTTTTAGGGGGGTTAGGGGGCTTAAAGAGAGAGAGTTTAGAGAGAGAAAGAAGAGGGTTGAGGTGTGAAGAGAAGTGAATGCCCGACACCTCTATTTATAGGAGGCCTGACTGGTGGACTCGCCGAGTTGGTCCATGTGGTGGCCTTCTGGTGGTGCCACGTGTCCAATTCTGGTGGTGCCACATCACCCCCTATCGCGTATCAGTCTTCAAACTTAGAAAAATCATAACTTTCGCATAAGAGCTCCGTTTTCGACGTTCTTTATATCCACGCGTAGGTAAAATCAAGATCTACAACTTTCGTTTAGACTCCGTCAGCTAACTCTCGACCGATCTCAAATTTAACAGTAGGAGGCGTTTAGACTGTTAAATGACCGCGAAGAATTCATAACTCCTTAATACGGACTCCGTTTTCGTCTGTCTTTTTACCGTTGAGTTCCTATTAATGAGATCTTTAACTCTCATTTAGGTCGCGTAAGCCAAAAACCGCTCGGACTAAAATTCGAGTTTCGGGCCGTGCACTGCTAAGCCGAATCTTAGAAAAATCATAACTTCTTCATACGAAGTCAGATATGGGCGTTCTTTTTATCGATGTTCTTAGTTTAACATGTTCTATGACTTTTGTTTAGATTGCTAAGGCTAAAAAGTATTCTATCGTAAATTCACTATTTACGTCTCCCGGTGCCGTGTCGGTTTTGCCATAAAACTTCGGCGGACCATAACTTCTTCGTTATAGCTCAGATTTCGGCATTCTTTATATGTACATAAACCTTGAGACATATTCTACAACTTTATTTAGAGATATCTGGATTATCTCACACTTTAATTTTGACGCTCATTTTTATTCTTTGTTAATTATACATTTATACTTAAATAATAAACACATAATCACACATAAATCACATAACACTCAACTATTTCATCTTTATTACTTCAAAAAGAGTTACAAGAGTTGACCTAGACTATTACATTGACAAAAATGATTAGCCCTGAAACCTGAGCGTTACAATTCTCTCCCCCTTAGGATGATTCTGTCCCGGAATCATGCATCAGCAAACAGATGTGGATAGCGACTCATCATGTCATCCTCTGTTTCCCAAGTGAGATTCGGCCCATTCGAATGTTTCCATCGGACTAGCACTAAGTCGACCATCTTGCGTCGTAACTTCTTAGTCTTACGGTCAACAATTACCTCGGGCTCTTCGATCAGCCTTTTATTCTCATCCATCCTTAACTCTGAAATTGGAATTATGTCGGGAACATCTCCCATGAATTTCCTCAAATAACACACATGGAAGGTGTTATGAATACCATTGAGTTCTTCGGGCAATTCCAGCTTGTAAGCTTGGTTCCCAATCTTCTGAAGAACTTTGAACGGTCCAATAAACCTTGGACTTAACTTTCCTCGTTTCCCAAATTGTATAAGTCCCTTCCACGGTGAGACTTTAAGCAAAACGGAATCCCCAACTTGGAAGGTTATCGGTCGTCTTTTCTTGTCAGCATAGCTCTTCTGACGATCCTGAGCTGCTAACATTCTTTCCCTAATCACCTTCAATTTCTCAGCAGTCTCATGGACTATCTCGGGGCCCATAAACTGCTTCTCTCCGGCTTCAAGCCAACAAGACGGCGTACGACACTTCTATCCATACAAGGCTTGATAAGGTGCCATCTTGATGCTCGACTGAAAACTATTGTTGTAGGAAAATTCTACTAGAGGTAAGTGCTCGTCCCAATTCCCTTGGAATTCGAGGGTACATGCTCTCAGCATATCTTCCAACGTCTGAATCATTCTTTCGCTCTGACCATCAGTTTACAGATGGTAAGTAGTACTCAAACACAACTTTGTACCCAACTCCTCTTGTAGACTCCTCCAAAACCTTGACGTGAAACGACTATCACGACCCGATACAATCGTAAGAGGGACACCGTGAAGTCTTACAATTTCCTTCACGTAAGCATTTGCGAGCTTATCCATAGACCACTTCTCGTTGGCGGCTATGAAGTGTGCACTCTTGGTGAAACGATCCACGACTAGCCAAATCATGTCATGTCCGTTCTTCGTTCTGGGCAGTTTAGTCACAAAATCCATAGTGATGTCTTCCTATTTACCCATGGGTATAGGTAAGGGTTCTAAACTCCCATACGGTTTCTGATGTTGTGCCTTAACCCTCGCATATGTTACACACTCGGCCACATACTTTGCAACATCGAGCTTCATTGTCGGCCACCAGTAGTAGGGTTTTAGGTTCGTATACATTTTAGTGCTACCGGGATGAATCGAGTACATGGTTTTGTGTGCTTCTTCCATTAGAATATCTCTTATTCCTCCCATCTTAGGTACCCAGATTCGATCTTGGAATACCTTCAGTCCTCGACTGTTTGTTCCGAATACTAACGTTTTTCCCAAACATTCTTCCTTTCGGTCATTCTTCCCTAAAGCTTCTTCTTGAGCTTTCCTGATACTTTCCACAATCGTCGAGACGACTTCAATTCTAAACGCTCTTGGCCTTTTCCTTTCAAGATTGACTTTCCGACTGAGAGCATCAGCAACAATATTTGCTTTTCCCCGGTGGTAAAGTATCTCACACTCGTAGTCCTTGAGAAGTTCTAGCCAGCGTTGTTGCCTCATGTTCAACTCCTTCTGATTAAAGAGATACTGGAGACTCTTATGATCAGTGAAGAGCTTGCACTTCGTGCCGTAGAGGTAATGCCTCCATATCTTTAAGGCAAATACTACCGCTGCCAACTCCAGATCATGAGTGGGGTAGTTCTTTTCATGCTCTTTCAATTGTCGAGATGCGTATGCTATCACCTTTTCTCTTTGGGTCAGAACACAACCCAACCCGACTCCAGATGCATCACCATAAACCGCGAAATCTTCGACTCCATCGGGTAAAGAAAGTATTGGTGCTTCACATAACTTCTTCTTTAGCTTCTCGAATGCCTCATCGTGTTTCTCACTCCATGTATACGTAGCTCCTTTATGGGTCAAAGCTGTTAATGGAGAAGCTATCGAAGGAAAGCCTTGGATAAATCGTCGGTAATATCCGGCTAATCCTAGAAAGCTTCGAATCTCCGTGGGACTCTTCGAACGTTCCCACTTCATTACAGCCTCCATCTTGGTGTGGTCAACCATTATTCCCTCTTAGTTAACAACATGGCCCAAGAATTGGACTTCTCGTATCCAAAATTCGCATTTGGAGAACTTTGCAAAAAGCTTCTCCTTCTTTAACACCTCCAACACTTCTCGTAGATGCTTGCCATGCTCCTCCTGGCTTTTCGAGTATATGAGAATGTCGTCGATGAACACTATCACAGATTTATCGAGGAATGGTTTACAAACCCTATTTATCAAATCCATGAATGCTGCGGGAGCATTGGTTAATCCGAATGACATAACCAAGAACTCGTAGTGTCCATATCTTGTTCTGAATGCAGTCTTCTCAATATCCTGCTTTCTCACCTTCAGCTGATGATATCCTGACCTAAGATCGATCTTTGAGAAGTAGCTCGAACCTTGCAGCTGATCGAATAGGTCATCAATCCTCGGTAATGGATACTTGTTCTTCATCGTTGCCTTATTCAGCTCTCGGTAGTCTATGCACATCCTCATGCTTCCGTCCTTCTTCTTCACGAATAACACCGGAGCTCCCCAGGGTGATGAACTAGGTCGAATGAAACCGTTGTCCAACAGCTCCTGAAGTTGCGTCATGAGCTCCTTCATCTCCGTTGGTGCTAATCGGTAAGGTGCCTTTGCTATCGGTGTTATTCCTGGTAATAAGTCTATACGAAACTCCACTTGCCTATCAGGTGGTAATCCGGGAAGATCTTCGGGAAAGACTTCCGGATAATCGCACACAACCGGTATATTCTGCACCTCTTTCTTTTCTTTCTTAGCATCGATTACGAATGCCAAGTACGATGCACATCCCTTGGACAAACATTTCCTGGCTTTCATCAGGGAGTTGATTCCAGAATTCACTCTGCGTTTGTCCCCGTACACCATAAATGATTCCTTTCCGGGTGGGTTTATCCTAACTATCTTCTTTCGGCATAGTATCTCAGCATCGTTGGCGCTAAGCCAATCCATACCCAAAACGATGTTGAAACCGTTTAACTCTATGGGTAATAGTTCCTCATGGAATTCGTTTCCGTTTAGGTCAATGATGATGTTCCTAATACGATTACTAACAGGTACGAATTTGCCACTGGCAACTTCTACAATCAGGGTATTATCAAGTTTTTCTACAGGTAATGCTAATTTCGCACTAAATTTATGCGACACAAAGGAGTATTTGGCTCCGGAATCAAACAATATATTTGCAGGAAAACCATTTACAAGAAAGGTACCCGAAGCGACGTCTGCTGCCTCCTTTGCAGCCTCGAGCGTCATCTGGAAGGCTCTCGCCTTCGGCTTTGGTAGTATGTTGGGTCTTCCTGCCTCCTTCTTCTTCGGGCAGTCCTTCAAAATGTGCCCTTCTTCATTACACCCATAACAGGCCTTCTGGTTGAGGGTGCATTCATTAGCATAGTGCCCAGGCTTTCCGCATTTGTAACATGTGACCCCTCCATCACACTTCCCAAAGTGCTTCTTCTTGCACTTGTCACACCACTTTGCTTCTGATCCTCCTCTTCTCGAACCAGACTTCGAGAATTTACCTTTCTTACCGGACCTCGAGGATCCGTCAAATTTCCTTTTCTCTCCCACTTCCGCTCTCTCCGGACCCTTTTCTCGTATCTGGGTCTCCACATTCTTAGCAGCCTAGATGGCGGCTTTCAGAGTGGTAGTTTGCTTGACCATTGGACCGAAGTCCGCTGGTAATCCGAGGGCAAATTTGTTAACCTTGGAGAGTTCAATTGGGACGAGATGAGGAACAAGCTTCATTTTCTCAGTAAGGCTTGCAGCGTATTTAGTAACGCTCATTCTTCCCTTCTTCAGATTCTGGAATTCGTTGTTGATCTCCAGAAGATCCTGCTCAGAGTAGTATTGCATCTTCAAATGTACCAGAAAATCCTCCCACGACATTTTGCTTGCTTCACCTTTGGGCATCGAATCAGCTAATAGCTTCCACCAACTTAGTACTCCAGATTTCAATAGAGGAACTGCGAGAGCGGTCTTCTGCCTATTGCTACACTCGCAACTCTCAAACATTGTCTCCATCTCAGAGATCCAGTTCATGACTTCCACCGGTGTCGGGCTTCCAGATAGACTCGGTGGCTTGGATGCCATGAAATCCATGTATTTGCATCCACGTCCATCATTTCCTCCATCCTGGTGGTTTTGTCTAACTATCGGTGGGTTGGCTTGACCAATAGTCCCACTGTAGTTTCCTTCTTTAGTCTGCCCTTCGTTCAACTCGGGCTATTCGATCTAAATAGTTGCTTCCTCTCGATTCTGCTGGAGCAAATGCCTGGTTTCCTCCATTTGACGATCCAACATTTCCTGGATCATCGCTTGCACTCCGGCCATTGTTATTGGTCCGACAGCGGCTTCCACAACTGGTATTTGCTCGATCACTGGGGGTTGGTTCCTACCTCCATTTGCATTCACATTTCCGCTACGGGTCCTTGCCATCTTGATCTATACACCGAATAAGGTGAATTTAGATCTTTATTTAGGAGAGACGTTTTAAATCATCCTTATGACTCTGAGATGTTTACATTCTAGTTCTAATATCGTAGTCGTACGTTTAGAATCCTAAACACATAAGGTTTCCAGATCCGGTCGGCAACATAACATAGATCCGAACAATTAACAACATATCAGGCATAAAGCATTTAGCACATAAAAGCATTTTAGGCATAATTCCTAAAATAAGCTAGTGCTCACGCCTCACAATCATCGCTTAGCATTCTAAGTTTAAGTCTAGAAATCCTACAAATTCCTAGTTCGCTTAAACTAATGCTCTGATACCAACTGTGACATCCCCAAAATCACGGCCAAAAAAGACCGGTTTTGTTTATACTTTATTTCAAAATCAGAGTTATCTTTTAATAAAAGGGTTGCGGAATTTGTCCCAAAACAATAATATGATAAAGATTTATCAAAAGCATTTCCACAGAAATGTATTTCATTAAAAGACTTGGGATGTCATGTTCGTACAGATCAAAAGTATAAACAGTACAATATAAGCCTTACTACATTATTTCATATCTACAGGCCTATATCCGTAATCCCTCGTCCAAAACATCACACCTATGCTCATTCGCCAGTACCTGTAATACATAAAACTGAGTGGGTCAGGCTTGGGAGCCTGGTGAGTACATAGGGTTTTCAACCCACAATAAATAAGTTTATTAATTTCATCAATCAACAATAACCCGATTACCCGTTCCCGTTATCCTTACTTTATGTCCCTAAACACCTATCATAAGGGACCTAGCCTAAGGATCATCATCGGGACGGACACTACTGCTAAGGGCATTCCTCAGCAATAAATGTCCTAATAGGCAACCATGTGGGGGATGGAGTACACCGGTGAACACATCGTTCACAACACCTACAGGTTGCGAGCCTGCTAGTGTTCCACTGGACTGTCTAGAAGAGTCCGTGGTCGTCATCTATACTCCGCTAGATGACTGGATCAACAACAACAACATTGAGGCCTCTCATCATTTTATCACACATCGTCTTATTACATCTACCCATGTTTTACCCCAACATTTTTGTAGATATAAAATACATATACAGTTTAAATCATTTAAAACTTGTATAAAAACATTCATCCAGCATAGATAGCAAGTATACAGATAATATGCACACATAGCATGTAATATATAAAATTCTTCATATCTATGTGTAAGATGAAAGTAATTATACACTCACCTGATTAGGTGGTGACTCAGCACTCAGACAGCGCTTCGATACTCTCAAAATGATATTCCTTCGATAAAACCTAGTATTGATACCACTAGGGTTTAGTCTAATGATAACCGCGAAAAATTAATTATCTGACTATTATTATTATTATATAAGCGTTAATAACACTCAATATAACTCATAATAATAGCCCAAATAATTATTTTAACGACCAAATAACATTCCTATATTAAAACATAAGCTAAACTAAAGATAGGATAGGTACAGCTCACTTACAGCGGGTTTTTCTCGAAAACTGGGCTTCGCTGGAGCAGCGTTCTTGAGCCAAAAGGCTCTTTTCTCGGGACTCTGGGAGCCTCGGGGCTTCCTTCGGGTGCTAGGGGGTTTACCTAGGCTTTTAGGGGGGTTAAGGGGCTTAGAGAGAGAGTTTAGAGAGAGAAAGAAGAGGGTTGAGGTGTGAAGAGAAGTGAATGCCAACCTCTATTTATAGGAGGCCTAACTGGTGGACTCGCCGAGTTGGTCCATGTGGTGGCCTTCTGGTGGTGCCACGTGTCCAATTCTGGTGGTGCCACGTCACCCCCTATCGCGTATCAGCCTTCAAACTTAGAAAAATCATAACTTTCGCATACGAGCTCCATTTTCGATGGTCTTTATATGCACGCGTAGGTAAAATCAAGATCTACAACTTTCGTTTAGACTCCGTCAGCTAATTCTCGATCGATCTCAAATTTAACAGTAGGAGGCGTTTAGATTGTTAAATGACCGCGAAGAATTCATAACTCCTTCATACGGACTCCATTTTTGCCTGTCTTTTTACCGTTGAGTTCCTATTAATGAGATCTTCAACTCTTATTTAGGTTGCGTAAGCCAAAAACCGCTCGAACTAAAATTCGAGTTTCGGGTCGTGCAATACTAAGCCGAATTTTAGAAATATCATAACTTCTTCATACGAAGTCAGATTTGGGCGTTCTTTTTATCGATGTTATTAGTTTAACATATTCTATGACTTTTGTTTAGATTTCTAAGGCTAAAAAGTCTTCTATCGTAAATTCACTATTTACGTCTCCCGGTGTCGTGTCGGTTTTGCCGTAAAAGTTCGGCGGACCACAACTTCTTCGTTATAGCTCGGATTTCGGCATTCTTTATATGTACGCAAAACTTGGGACATATTCTACAACTTTATGCAGAGATATCGGGATTATCTCACACTTTAATTTTGACGCGCATTTTTATTCTTTATTAATTATACATTTATACTTAAATAATAAACACATAATCACACATAAATCACATAATACTCAACTATTTCATCTTTATTACTTCAAAAAGAGTTACAAGAGTTGACCTAGACTATTACATTGACAAAAATGCTTAGCCCTGAAACCCGGGCGTTATAATATGTTTTCATCTTCAGTAACATCTTCGGATTAATCATCCAAGTTATCATCAACTTCTTCATCCTCTTCTCTCTCAATGTCGTTGTCATTAACTTCTTCTATTTATCCTTCAATTACATGAGAAAAGGGTCCTGCCACCTCATTTGCAATGCTGCTTGTAGAAGGTAAAGTCGCTTTACTTTCTTGAAAGAATTGGTCCTCTTCATCCTCATCATCATCTTCTTCAGTAACACATTGTCGTAGATCATATACATCCCTTGGTTTCGTCTTGACGACAACCCACCAACCTTTCAAATCCTTCATTGCAGGATATGGTGCATAATACACTTGTTTTGCTTGTGACGCTAGGATAAATGGATCTTCATTTCTTAGCCTTGATTTGTATTTAATATCAACCAAATTATGCTTTCGATCCTCACGTACCCCTTCAGTAGGTTAAGCCATATACACTTGAATAATACTATGATGCAATGCCCTATGCCTTGATATTCTACTTCCAAAACCTCATCTAACAACCCATAATAGTCACACTCAGACTCATTGTAACAAGTCCCTCTTACACATACACCACTATTGTGTGTGACCCGTCCATCACCATATTTTTCAGTATGAAACTTGTAACCATTGACAAAGTATCCTTTATATAACCAAACATGTCATAATTGTCCTCGTGCAATGCATTTCAGATGTTGACTGATATCATTTGATTGTTGAAAAACCTACATTGATAAATCATTTGTTAACTAATTCGCGGGGGAAGACACTTTGGTAATACAAAATTTTCTCGTATCATACTCACGTGATCTTTAAACCACTTAGCAAAATGTTGATCCCTAAACCTTTCAAATGCTCCATCATCCATATATTGTTGGCTTTGGATCACATAATTTTCAAACAACCTTAAAAAATAACAAACACTGTAGAGATTCACGACATCAAGGAAAATGAGATAACTTGACATACCTTAAAAAAGGTAGAGCCCCAACACAATTGATCAAGATGTAATTATGAGCAATACGCATCTCATCATCTGTCAAAGGCCTCTGTTGACCACTTTTTTTGAATAATCTTCGAGATGGAACTTTGAAAATGCTTAATCGAGAGTCGACCATGATATAACAAGGAATGTCTGGAGCAAAATTAAGCAACTCATGATTCAACCGTGTTTCAATTGTAGGAAGAAAGTATTGTGAGCAAAAAGTCGATATCTCTCCAATCATGTAAGCCTCAACAATGGACCCCTCAACCTTTGCATGGTTTTTTATCTTTCTTTTCATTGATCCCAACTTCCTAAAAAGATGTTGGAAAAGGCTTATTATAAATTCCATAGGTTTTATGGTAGAATCTTTTGTATGGTAAAAAATATACCGTTCATAAAGATACATCCACCTATATTGAACCGGACCACCAAGCATAGCTTCTCGAGCCAAGTGAATAACAAGATGCTCCATTGAGTCAAAGAATCCAGGTGGAAATATTTTTCCAACTTGCAAATGGTTTCAACAATAGTAGTTTGCAAGCGTTGTAAGTCATTTACACGTAACACCCTTGAACATATTCCAAGAAAGAATGTACACAACTATGTAATTGCATCCCATGTTGAATTTGGCACCATACCTCTTAGAGAAATAGGAAAAAATCTTTGAAGAAATACATGGCACTCATGACTCTTGAATTTGCAAAAGCTATTATCATCTACATTAACGCACCCCCCAAGTTTGAGGCGTATCT